CCCCCCCCTTCTCCTCCTCCCCCGCCGCCGTGACTCGGCAGCGCCGCCGGTCATGCTCAGGCATGTCGGGCCGCGGCCGGCGGAGGAGCTAAGCCCCGACTTGCCTCCTCTTGGCAGCGCTATATAAGGGCCCAGCCCGGCCTGACTCGGCCCGGATAACCCGCAGCCGGAGCCCGGCGTCTGGGTTGGACGAGGTGAGCGGGCACCGCCGGGGGGGGGCGGCTGCAGACACCGCGCTGCTTCCCCCCCCCTCCCTCCCCGGGGTGTCTCTGTGCGGGGGAGGGGGAAACCCGGGTTGTGTAGCTGTGTTCCACGTTTTGAGGTTGTTCTCTCCTTAATTGCAGGCAAATGTGCAATACCAAGATGTCCTCCCTTACGGATGCCTCTTCTGTCACCGCTTCGGAGCAAGAGGCGCTGGTCAGTAGCTCCGTTGGACGTGCCAGTTTTTCATGCTTTTTGCAGAGTTTTTACCTGCTAATTCAGAAGGGCAGCTTTGCTCAGCGAGCGATGGTTAGAGAGAAGCCAGGAAATCCGGTGAAGATGGTCTCTTTGATTCTGTAATTCTGAAGGAAATCTTTCTCATTCGTGGGTGAGAGTTGAGGCTGATGGTTTAGGTCTAGACTCTGTTTCCTGGAGACCTCTGATGGTCAGGTTGCTTTCTTTCAAAAAAAAAAAAAAAAGGGGGATCTTATGGTCTGATTGAATCATAGTAAGTATTTTGTGGTGGAAAATTTTTAACGGTTCATAACTGAAGAGTTGTGGAAGACCTCTCTTGTGCAAAACGTACACTGCCTGTGAAATAATCTTGTCATTACAACTGAAGGGTTTCAAATTTGGCATTTTCACTTCCTCCTCTTGGAACTCATAAGCAAGTTGTAGTAAGAGTCTTCGTTTGTGTTTATAGCTTTGTATATCCAGGCTTTCCATCATACAGTGACAGTTCTACTGTCCTGGTTTTCTAGGCAAGTTTTGCTGAGGATGGAAACATATGTGTTATATCTGAGATATGAGTTAAAAACGGTGTGTGTACAATGACAGTTGAACTGGATTATTTTTTGTAGAAGGGTAAAGCTTAAAAGTGTAGACTGATAGCAGAACTTCAGAAAAGCAAAGTAACAGAACAGCAGACTGGTCAAAGTTGGTGGTTTTTTCCATTTGTTTATTCTTTTTTTTTTAAGTTGCCATAATGTGATGCTACCGGGCAGAAGAACTTCATACTTGCAGGAGTCGGGGAGAGAGGGCTGGGGAGTAAAAGGATCTGAACCCTTGAGTCTAGTTGTGGATTCAGAGATCTGAAACTGTGCTTTGCCTTCCTATGCTCAGGTGTCCTTAGTAGTTGAATAAGTTACTGTTTGCTTCCTTTTTGAAAGTGTAATATATGCTGCATGCTCTAAATAATTCAGCACTTAGGAAGGGGTGAATAGACCTCTAATGGTGTCCACAGGCTTGTTTATTGTTTTCATTACGTGCGATTCTTGCAACGAATCTCTTGTTAATGCATTAAAACTTAACGTTGGTTTTAGCAGATACTTGAAATGGAATGTAGGGAAGTCCCATCTCAACCGGTCCCCCTTCCCTTAAGCATTTATTCCTTGTCTTGTGATATGTTATTCATACTTTCCTATAAAATGTTTCTTTTCTAGAATATTTCTTTCTTATTTTAGGGAATATATTAGGATAGCTAAATATTAGCCTGTTCTTAGAATGGTTATGCTATTGTTGAAGTGGCAATACTAGAATATACTGCACTGCGAACCGTCATTGGCTCCACAGGCATTTTCTTTGCAGCTGTGGCAGCCCCTGCAGCTTGTTCTCATCTCCTGCACTGGTACTGGCACAGCTGTTTGTGGAACAGTGCAGTGGATGGGATCAGGACATTGCTCTGGCAAGAAGAAAAAAAAAGGGACGGGGGGAAGTGATTTTTTTTTTTTTTTTTTTTTTAAACTTTTCCTCTTACCTCAGAAATCGTCATAGACTGACTGCAGATATACTCTGCTGGCACAGTGGGTGGGTGGGAGGCCATTGCGGAGGTGGGAGTGGTGGAAATACAGTGGAAAGGACAGAGTGTGCTTATCCTAGCTAAAAAAAGTCTTCAGAGGTAACGCAGCCCAGCTGGCAAATACAAAACCGCAGTCCCAGAAACTGTCACAGGAAGAGACTAGGAAAGAGGTGGACCGGTGTTTTGGTTTGTGACTTGCACTCTGGACCTGACAGACAGTCACAAAAGTCTTGTTTGCCTTCCTCCCTTCTCCTTGGGAGTCGTTGTAAAGGAGCAAAGGAGTGAAGCTGAATTCTCCAGGACCCAGCCTTGTCCTTGGAACTACCAGATGAATCCTGTAGCTCAAATCGAGGAATCTGTATGTACCAGTGGAAGATGAGGATTTGAGCTAAGATGTACAGTGTTTGAGAAGTTTAGTATGATTGGGTTTGTGTTATTTGCTTTTAAGTTTAAATTTGCAAAGTAAAAAATTTGGATGCAGTTAGGTTTTAATGTAGTTGTGTGTTTGTATATCAGATTAATACAGGAGGAGGAAGCCAACCTGTATAGTGTTTTGTTTGGTGAACAGCTGGTGCATACTGTTTTTCTTCTTCTCCACACAGGTTAAACCAAAGCCGCTATTGTTGAAGTTGTTAAAGTTAGCTGGTGCAGAAAAGGACACTTTTACTATGAAGGAGGTGAGAACTTTTAATCACTAAAGGTAGATTACAGTGAGTACAGATAGATCGTTCTTTTGTCTTGGGTGAATGGGGGGCAGTGTAGTTCACAGCTTATCTAGAAGATATTGAGACAAGATACTACTCTTATTGTCCTGCTGACTTGTTAGGTGGTGTTTAGCAAGTTTCTCAAAATCTGAACAAAAGTATCTGGTGGTCCGTAGAATAGCAGAGTACATGGGGAATGACAGATGAAAGTTGCAGCTCAAGGGGAGTTTAGGCAAAGTGAGGAGAGCAAATCTCAATGAATTTAATGTGTTTTCTCTTGCGCTTAAACTTGAAACAACAGAACCTCGGTATTTAATGTCTGTATGTCATTTGTTTTACAGGTAATATTCTATCTTGGACAATATATTATGTCTAAACAATTATATGATGAAAAACAGCAACATATTGTACACTGTGCAAATGATCTCCTGGGGGATTTATTTGGAGTAACAAGCTTTTCAGTAAAAGAACACAGGTAAAATGGGATTCTTTTCTGAGAGTCTGGTTGTGAAATGATGGAGAACATAATGCGTATGGCCTTTTTTAACTCTTTGTATCTTCAAAGATGGTAAGCTCTCTTTTATAATTACATGTAGCTAACTTGCAACATCTCTCTCTTTATCCCCATCTAAGGAGACTATATTCAATGATTTCCAGAAATCTGATAGCAATCAATCAACAAGGTAAGCTAGTTTGGGAGGCCCTTTTGTTTGGGGAAATGGCAGTAGGGAAAAATACAACTTACATAGGCATCTTGCATGTAGTGATCAGATAACATTGATCTCTCCATTATTAGCTACTTGGCCTTACACACTACTGTCCAGATCGATCACAAATAGTGAATCAAAGCAAACACTGTTTCTTCTTGGTGAGAAAAAAAAAATTCTGAACAGCATTTGGGTAATTTTTGTTGGACTAGAACCAGAATAAGCACAATCAGAGCTGAACACAAAGAGGACTAAATTGAAAAATTAGTTGTTTGCTTGTATTTCTTACAGATAAAGCCCTCAACAACATAAAAAGTTTTAATATGAAAAATTAGCTTCTTGAACTTGAAGTGACTGCAAATGTTTTTCTTTCTTTCTGTTAGTGTTCTGTTTTAGTTTTCAAAACTGAATCTGGAGTACATTTAGAACTGTTCACCCTCAGCTACACTTGAGTCCTGTTATAAAAGATCTCTATACTTAAAAACGTAGCTTTGCAGTAACTTTGTGGGTAGCCACTCCATAAATGGAGTGCTGTTACTCAATATAGCTGTAATATCTGAGTAATACAAGGAGTGAACCAGAAGTTAAACAGTGGAAGCCATTTTGTAAATTGGCTTCTAAATCCATATTAAGACACCCTTTGTTTCTGATTCTTCCTAAAGGCAAGTGTTCAGCTGCTGAAGATGCAAAACATGCTCTCTTTATTATCCCTTATTTTTATGTTTGCAAACTTAAATTACCTCTCAAATTCTCGAAAGATAGTTTATTAATTCAGTGTCTGTCTGATAGTAAGCATATATAATTAACCACAGTTAATTTTTCTTCCAGTTAATGTCTTTTTAATTCCGTGTTCCCATAAGATGATAGCTAGTAAAATAAGCTTTGGAGACGAAGAGGTGTAAAATATTTCCTGCCTATATTCTTTCATACCTGCAGAATCCCAGCTAATGCACAGCCTTCATTTGAAGGCATTTGTAATAAAATTCTCAGCTATTCTGTGGTTGAGATTTCTTCTTCCTCCCAACTTTACCGCTTCAACTAAGCTACAGGGGAAGTGCTGCACACACCTGAAAAGCAAAGGGGCAGGCCTGTTTTTTCCATTGTTGGAAAACATCTGGATTTTAAGTTTAGAATTTACTTTGTAAATGCTGTGCACGCAGTTAACTTCTCTCCCTTGCTTTTATTCTAATGGTTTTGAGCCTGAAATTGACTTTCTGCTGTGCTGTGTTACAGTGTTTGGTTTGGTTTCAGAGTCTACGCTTGCTGAGACACCTGAGGATGATGCCAGATTTCAGCTTGAAGAAGAAAATGTTCTTACGGTGATTTTTTTTTTTTCTTTTTTCCTCCAAATAAATGTTCTGAGATGTAAATTCTATTCAGTGTTGTATGATAGTGTCAATGGTTTAGATACAACTAGCTGATTCTAGCCTTTTACTTCATATTCGTGCTCAGGCTTACTCAGTATTTCTGTTAACCAGGAAACTATGCAAGAGTTAGATGAGAAGCAGACTTCATCAAACGTGACTTCCCGACCAACTACGTCTTCTAGGAGGAGAACACACAGTGAATCTGGTACGTGCAGATTTATGATGCAGAGCTTCCAGTAGCATGGCCACTTAGGGAAAGAAGTACATTCTGTTGCCTTACTGACTTTGAAAGATGCTGACAAATACTATTCATGTTTCTCTGCTTATCTAAAACAAAATGTTCAGTCTGGAAGAAATACGCAATTCCTTGCATTGCTCCAGTATCACGTTACAATTTGGACCTTTAGAACTGTTAGTAAGATGATGGAATAACTTGTTCCACAGATCTCAAACTTGTTCAGATCAGCAGGACTTAATCAGCTGTGTTATCTTCATGAGGAGAACACTTTTGTTTGTAATAGACTGATGTAGTCAAATTAATTTCAGTTACCTCTGTAGACAGCCACAAAATTTTACGTTTTTGTTTGCCTTCTAAAACAAGTTTTCATTGGGTTTCAATTGGTGGCAGACGTCAAAGGTCTGGTAGTAACATGGGATGCTTTTGGATATGTTGGAAGTGTTCTCTAGAGTTCTACTTAAATAATATTCTGTGGAATTTCATAGATTAGTTTGTTCCATCAGTTACTTCTGTTACCTCATGACTTGGTGGCTGTAATTACCTGGGCAGTGATAGCCTTCTGTCCCTGCATAGAACTTCCTTTTCTTCAGTTGTTCGGTAGCATTTTTCAGTTCCTCAGCTTTTCTGTAGTATTTTTTTTTTGTGTTCATCATAGGCCACTGTTATGTTAGTCAGTCCAAAAACTGTGCTGTGTTGCTGAGCGGTTTGCACTAAATTAAAAGAACATTTTAATGTTGTAACAAAAACTGGTGAAAGGATGGAAAGTCTCGGTTAAACATCATAACCTGTAATATTTAGGCATGACCCAGAGCACATAAGGTCCTGTGTTGTGCTTACTTATTGTAGGTTTGATGATTAACTCTTGTCTTTGCATCCGTTTATTAGTTTGTTACAACCTTAAAAGTTCTTTTAATATAGTGTTTTTATATACACTTTTTTTCTAATTTATAGGAAATCTTCCTTTTAAACCACTATTCTTGTTAAATTGGGATGGTAGCGGCTCCTTTGGAGCCGCTTATATAGTGTATAGAAACCTTGTGGTGATACAGTATCAGTACAGCATGGAGCCATGACAACTAAATGAGGACAACGATGGACAGGAGCAACCCTTGGGCCTGGGGGCACCAAATTTGGTGGGGCTCTCAGGGCGGAAAAAGAAATGAGAGGGGCTGAGCCAAGAAGCACCAAGGGAAAGTAAGAGAAGTCTCAAAGTATGTACAAGTGTTTTGTTCTCTTTTCTTTTACAATGAAAGATTCAAGACTTGAAGACTCATGGATTGTCAGGGTGTGTTTTACAAGGCAAGGGAGAAGCTGGGCAATAGAGGGTGGGTGCAAAAAGGCACCTGTAGTGGGGCAGCAGGCTCTTACCCAGGTCTGTTGAACAAAGTTGTCAGGCCTCCTGGGGAGTTTTCACTCCGCTGCACTTCTATACTGACTTTGCAATGCCTTTTTTAATAAAATAGTTTCTTACTGAACACTCTGAAAGTCAGTGGAGCTGAATTTTGACTTGCCTACCCCTAAAATGCTGTCCCCCTACTCCTTATGCTGCTGTAGGTGGTTGTTTCAAAACGTGATGTATTTAAAAAGCATTGTCTTTTTGCCTTCAAACCAAGCATATTTAATAAGCACAGCTAAAAGCAAAGCTTTCAGAGTTCAATTTTTACATAGTATGCCTTGAAGGTTTTCTTGCTAGTGCGTGGTGAAAGTCATAAAGGTTTGTTACAAAAATCCTGTTGAGTAAATACAATTACATGTAGTGCAACTATTAACTGATAAATTTGTTGAGGTATCTGAAACTTGAACTTACCTTGCTTAGCGTGAGGTCCTTCGTATGCATGTGACCTGGGGAGCTAGTTGCTCTGTCTCCCTGCAAATTCTGGGTTGGACTGAGCAGCCCTCTGAAAGTGCCTTTCTGTCTACTGACTGTAGAGGGAGCTAGGACAATCAAGATCCTAACTGTATTTCTTAAAATTAGGAGGGGTTTTAACGTGTCATGTGTGAAGTGGGAGTAAAAATGCTTCCAAATTTGCAGTTATTTTATTTCCTGCATGTGGAGACTGCCATTTACAAGCTGTACTGATGGGACAAGTGGGGACAGCCAGCCCCTGAAATACTGACTTCAGGAATATTTCACACTTCTCATGTTTCTTGGTGTTACTGTGTCTTTCTTAAAAAAGTTTTTGGTGCCTTTACTTTTTTCCCCATAAAACAATGCTGAATGACTTTATTCATCCTAAATTCCTATATATGTAAATTATATTTTAAGCTTCTGTTAAGAATATTCAAAACGGCATATTGCATAGATGGTTTTGGAGTAATAAAAATTCTTGAATGTGCCCAGAAGAAAATTCTTCAGATGACCTGCGTAGTGACAGAAGAAAACGACACAAGTCAGACAGCATTTCGTTGACGTTTGATGAAAGTCTCTCATGGTGTGTAGTCAGTGGTCTGTGCCATGAAAGAAGCAATAGCAGTGATTCAACAGATTCTCTTTCCATTCCTGTAAGTCAAAATATTTTTTTTTTTGTGGTACAAATTTTGCAGATACCACAAGTGCAAATATGCATCTTAAAACATCATGTTCTTAATTAAAAGCAGCAGTGCCTTCAGTGGTGTCTGAGGAAGGAAAAGAGGCTGAAAGAAAAGTTGGTGTGTGGGTGGAGTGGGGTCTTTCAAAGATGTGCTGACAAAGCTAAAGTGAAATTTTGTTAAATATTAACTTTGAATATTCTTTAAAAAACAGATTCTTACTGCTTGGCACAGTATTGAAAAAATGCCAGATACATTTTGTGTTTTAAAATAAGCATTCCTTAAAATGCTAAGAGAAGAAAAGCAGTCACAGACGTTCCATAATTCAGAATAGTTGGTAGTTCCAGTACAGCTTTGGTAACTGTACATAGTAGTGCCCTGATGATATGCTGTATTCATTTTCTAAGCCTTTACTGTTTTTTATTGTTTTCAGCAAACACTGAGGCAAATTACCTGTGGTTAGGTTAAGTCATGAAGAGCTAAACTAACAGCACTCCTAGTCATATACTGTATTCTGAATTGACAGAACTAATACTATATCTTCACTTTTGCTATTCTGTAATTGTTTAGCCACTGTTTCAAATTAAGGTTAACAAAGTTGATGAGAGTAGAGAATTTAATGACATGCAGCCAAAAGACAGCATCTTCTGGCATGTGTTCTTTCACTTTTTAGGAGAGCCTTTGTGAAATAGTAGCTGCAGTCTTCAAGCTGGCTGTAGGTTGACTGCAGCCTCATATTACAGAGCTGACAAAAGGTTTTCAGGTCTAGCTTTATTTTACCTACTGATGGTTTGTCTGTCTCATAAAAGACGTTCTATCTAACAGCAGCTGGTCTCATTTCTTCCATAGCTAATTAAACTGAGTGGTTTTATCTCATGAGCTATCTTTAACAGTAATGGTCATGGATATGGACTGGTGAGGTTGAATGTGTACTTTCTTTCTCTTTTTTTTTTCAGGATCTTGATGCCAGTTCATTAAGCGAAAATTCTGATTGGTTTGACCACAGTTCTGTTTCAGACCAGTTCAGTGTAGAGTTTGAAGTTGAGTCTATTTATTCAGAAGATTATAGCCATAATGAAGAAGGACAGGAGCTCACAGATGAAGATGATGAGGTACATATTTGGTTTGTTCGGGGTTTTTTTGCCTGGGGAGGTGGTGAGAGGGGGAAGGAAACTTACAGGAATACTTCATGTTGAGATTCCAACAAGAAGTAGTAACTCTTCAGGTTTATTGCAGGACTGCATGTGCTATGTCACAAACTGCACCCAGTTGTTTATTAAATCAAGTTACATGCCTGTGCAGTTGGGTCACCATTATATACCCACCAGGCAGTAACCGGAACAGTGCTAAGGCTTTCTGCAGGCTCTGAAACAGACTCTTGACAGTCTGGAGAAGTCTGTCTGTTTAACTTCACTCACTAGCTGTTGGAGTCGGTGGCAGCGTGTGTACTTGAGTCTGTCTCTACATTTTTAATTATAGAAGTATGTGTTGAGCTTTGACAACACTTCTGATAACTCAATGAAAGCTTTCCTAGTAACTGTTTGCAAAGGGATATTTCTGAATCATTTGCCTCCATGAATATTAACGTTTCATAAAGTTGCTGAACCACAATTTTAGAAATTTTCATTAGGCGCAGGAAGACAGTAAAATTGTCATTACTGTAATTTTCAAGAGATCTAGATATCTGGAATGTCAGGAATGAAGTGGGAATTTTTTTTTTCTGGGTTAGTTTTCTGTTACTTTAAAGAGGTGCATCAGCTCGTGGCAAGATTGGGTAAGTACCAGAGGCAGAATTCGCCAGGGACATACGTGATTGTGATATTTCAGAGGCTGAATGGGATTGACTGTACTGATGTACGCTGGGTTATAGTGCTGTGGAGCTGCACCCTCAGATAAGGCAGTGATTTAGAGGAAGAAAGGATTAAGGTGTGCCCCTGCTCCCAGCAGCAGTGTCGAGAATTGCAGAACAGTTGAGGTTGGAAGGGGCCTCTGGAGGTCGTCTTATCCATCCCTAGCCCCCGGCACAAGCAGAGCTGATTGCCCAGGGCCATGTCCAAATGACTTGAATATCTCCAAGGGTGGAGGCTCCGCAGCTGCTCAGGGCCACCTGTGTCAGTGCTCGATCACCCTCACAGTGAGAAAGTGTCTCCTGACATTCAGACAGAATCTCCTGTGTTTTAATTTGTGCCAGTTGCTTCTTGCCCTGTTGCCGGACACCACTGAAAGGAGCTTGGCTCTGTCTGCTTTACACCCTCCTTTCATGTTTTTATACACATTGGTAAGACCCGCCTCTGCCCCCCAAGCCTTCTCTTCCCCTTCAGGCTGAAGGGTCCCAGGTCTCTCAGCCTTTCCTCCTGTGAGAGCTCCTCTGATCTCTTTGTGATCTCGGTGGCCCTTCTCTGGACTCTCTCCAGTAGCTCCATATCTCTCACGTACTGGGGAGCCCAGAGCTGGACACTGTGCTCCAGGTGTGGCCTCACCAGTGCTGAGCAGAGGGGAAGCGATCACCTCTGTTCTAGAAGGTGGTACCTTCTATCTGTCTAGTCTACACTTTTCTTCAAACTGTGTGTTAAAATCATGAACAGCGTTTTTTTCCCCCCCCCTGAACCAGCCATCAGATTTTTGGAGTTACTTGCTAATGTGAATTAACATATATGCGCTACCTACTACATTTGATTAAAACTGTATCAGAAAATTGTTAGATTAAAAAAATCTGATAGTTTTTTTGATTGCCAAAAACCAGTTACATCAATACTTTATTTTTATAGGTATATCAGCTGACTATTTACCAGGATGAAGATAGTGATGCTGATTCATTTGATGAAGATCCAGAGATTTCTCTAGCTGTGAGTAAAAACTTGACTGGCAAAGCATCTTAAGTTGGGTGAACTGAGAGAGTAGATCATTGAGTATAGATGAATTCCGTTGCTACCAGTGATCTTTTAAGAATTAAATGACTCCTTCTTGTATGCTTGAAGATTCCAAGACAATATTTTTAATTATTGGACGTGATTATTAAGGAACCTTGATTTTTTAATTATTTCTTTTAAATTAGTAAGCTTCCTAATCCATTAAAAAAAACAAACAACCCACACTAACACGGTTTCACTGACTTAAGGGGAGGACGTTTTTTGGAGCCTCAATCTGACTTTTTGCACAAAAAGGAAAAAAAAAAAGTCATGTATATTTAGAAAACTCTTCCTGTAAATCATAGTATTTAGTTTTATTGTCCACTCTGAGTGAAGGAATCTGTACCATACAGATGTGAAGGTAAAGTCCTGTAAAATTAGAAGATTCTGAGGCTTTTTCTAAATTCTGTGAGACCATTCTTGAAGTGTGGGAAGAAATTCAGGGGTTTGAGGCAAAGTATGTAGGCATACCTGAAAAAAGCACACGCTAGAACTAAAATGTAGCGTATCTTTTTATTTGCGTTTGCTTTTCAGACTTGAAGCTTGAGTAAAGCTGTTGTCCAAAACTGTCTGAAGTGTTCCAGTCCCTTGATCGTCTGTAGGACTGAGGGACTTTACTATGTGTGTAAAACACAGGGATAGCCACCACATAAAAACACAGCACTACTTATGTAGGGAAAAATATGTCTGTATGTTGTTTTTAGGAATTAAAATTGGTCTTTTAAGTTTTTGATGTCACTGATGTTATTCAGGACTCAAAAAGTGCTTTAAATCCTCTAAATAAGTTTTGGGTTTGTTTTTTTTCTTATTATTTTTATTCCCTGTATAAAAATGAAGTGTATTTTTAATGAGATAACGGCTTGTTTTCAGTTTAGCCTATGATGCAGCCGTTCCTATTTTTTTTTTTTAATGGCCGATGTTTTCTGTTCTCCAACACTGCTGTGTCAGAGTGCCCTCACCCGGCCGTTCTGCACACCAACAGCTTAGCATCCCACAGGTGGTTAAATGTCTCTTCAGTCTTAAGTAGCTTCTACTTCAGAACTCTGTTGTACAAAGTAATGGGAATGGTGACTGTTTTATCAGAAAGAAGTTTTTCATGAGGTTCTCTGAAGACTTTTGTGGTCTGGTTTCTTCAGTTTAGCATAGGAAACAATAAATTGTTATTGTTCCACCTCTATTTTTATTTCACAAATCTACTGCAAAAATAAAGAAAATCAGAGAGTCCTTTTAAAATCAAGACTATTTTAATCTAGAACCGTAAAGTGGGGCCAAACACTGAATGGAATGTTTAAATTATAAACGAGTTGATAGCTCAAGATAACTATTATTTTGGCAGTAATAAGTTGCTTATAATCTCTGATTACTTCAGTTGTAAGCATTCCAAGTAGCTTAAGCTGTTCCAACCTTTAATTCACTAAAGGATTATTGGAAGTGTCCCGAATGTAGCGAAATGAATCCTCCACTTCCACGACATTGCCACAGATGCTGGGCCCTGCGTGAGGACTGGCTTCCAGATGAAAAGAGTGAGAAATTGGAAAAGAGCAAATTGGAAAGTTCCTTACCTCTAGAGTCTGAAGAAGGTTTTGATGTTCCTGACTGCAAGAAAGTGAAAATGACTGAAGATAAAGAACCAGCTGTGGAGGAGAGTGAGGATAAAGCAGTACAAACTTCCGAGTCCCAGGAAAGTGAAGATTATTCCCAGCCATCAACATCGAGCAGCATGTTCTGTAGCAGTCAGGAGGACTACAAGGAACCTGAGAAGAGAGAAGGGCAAGACAAAGTGGAAAGCACGGAATCCAGCCTGCCCGTTAACAGCATAGAGCCCTGTGTCATATGTCAGAGCAGACCTAAAAATGGCTGCATAGTACATGGCAAAACAGGACACCTCATGTCATGTTTTACGTGTGCAAGAAAACTTAAGAAGAGGAACAAACCCTGTCCGGTGTGCAGGCAGCCCATACAAATGATTGTACTAACTTATTTTAGTTAGATGGATGTTGACTGGAAAGCAGCAAAAGGAACTTCATAAACTGGTTAAGAGAGTAAGAAACTTATTTTTATATGCTTATGGGAAAATTAATATTTTGGTCTCTTTACATTTGGTATAAGTGCACTGGAGTTGTTAAGAGGTTAGCCTAATATTCATAAGTCAGCTTGAAGATTTTAAATCCCTCTCAACAGAAATAACCAATTCCTGTAAACTACCTGCTTCCCCAAGCGTTTTATGTTCCATACAAGTTAGGGACGTTTGTGTTACTGGATTAAATAGACATTAAAAACCCAAATTCAATGATTATGAGAGAAGGGACATGTTGAGGAGTTTGCTTATGAGTTCCTCCTCATAAGAAGATAAAACATTCTCCAGACTCCAGTATCTGTTGCCAGGTGAAGACACCAGGCTCAGTCAGAACCCTCTGAATAAGTCAATAAAATAAATAAATAGAATCTTGTCTCCCTCGTTCCCAAAACTTAAATTCCTCCAAGTAACCAAATTACGGGGGAGATCTTACCAGGAAGGGAGGAAAGATGTGATAGAAAATAATTTAAGGTTTTGGAAATAGAAAAGGTTATTGTGTTTTTTTTATTTTTGTAGTGTGCATTGTAAACTTCGGGGCTGTGTGTGTCCTGAGAAGTCACTGATCCACATTCAGTCTTACAGTTATCTCTTAAAACGCCCTGAGAAACTGGCTTTTAAAATGCTTTTTGGGTTTGGAGGTCTGTACTATCCTGGTTATTATTTTAGCAGCACCAAAAGAGACTTAACAGGCAAGATAAATGAAGGAGATGCTATGTAACGTCAGCTCAGGCAATATTAGGGGACAACTGTATTCTTTTTCTGCACTTGTTTTTGACTTCAGCAGTATAGCGTGCAGCTTGATCACTACATTTGCTTGAATAAAAATAGTAAGGGAAAAAGTCCATCTGCAGAAACAAATAAGGCTGTGTAGTTCTAGTTCACATAGACATTCTTTAAATTCAGTAGTCTTTCCAACTTGCACTATATTTTTATCCGTATCACAAGAATTCTGAAAATCTGTTGCAAGGCATTTGGCCAACTCAAAATGGGTCTCGCTGGACCTGTCCTTTACTGCTTTTAGCTCTTGTCTCCTCACTGTACTTTGTCAAAAACTTTGTGAAACTTGCCAGTTCCTTTATTAAGGAGTCTATGAACTGACGTGGTTCTGTGCTGCGTTCAGAGTAGGTAGCATGAGTATATTTTTGTAAGCTCAGGTATCTTCAGGATGTAGTTAGATTACTCAGCTGTTTTCCAGATGGAGAGTTTCTGTACCAGTGAATTGTATTTATTCCTTTGGAAAACTAGATTACAAGAGTTGTATGTTTTTAGCACCTTTTAATTTTACAGGTAGTTGCTGATCATCTGCCCAATAGCGAATGGCAGATAAGTAATCAGGGGAGTGCCAGGAATGGAGATGCATGGAGTATAAAGTGTCTGTAAACCAGGGCTGCGAACACCCAGACAGCAAGGAAGTACGTAGGAACAGGACATAAAGCTGTACAGAAGAGACTCGGCAAGCCCTTGGTTGTTACTTGCCTGCAAAGAAATACCTTCATAGCTAAAGACTGAACTACCGGAATTGGTCATGTTTTGCTCGTACATTTGAGCTAATTTTTGAAAAATACAACTAAAAGATAGCAGTATCTCTGAAGTTTTACTATAATCAATTTTAACTAAACCAAATGTAAACCCCAGCTGTATATGTTTCTTCAAATTCTGACTTGCCAATTGCTTGCCCTTTGCAATTTGTAAAGTGACAGGGGGCAGCTGGATGTTCTTGAAGTTCTTTGGTCAGCAGAAACCTTTCATGGGGTTTGATAACCCTTCAGCTGGAGATAGAGAAGTCCTTTGGGCAGGTATTTAAACATTTCTGGTAAGGATGCTTCTAATAGCAGTGTGAATTGAGGTTGATAGCCATCTTCCTATTTATTCTTAATTTTTTATTTGACAAAACTAATTGCAGTGAAGCTTGCAGAGGCTCTTCCATTGCACCTGCAGGTCAGAACCAAACAGCGGTCGTGTCACGGTCTGGAGTCTGCAGCTGAGAGAGAACTGCAGACGTGTGTATTCGGGAGAAGCGTTGGTAATGTGGGGACTATACCGAAAAAGCTTCATCCACTGACATCATCTCCGATGCCTTACGCTTTTTCAGTGCAATAGCTTCTCTACGGTCACTGTGACGGCTGTGTCACAGCAGTTCTGGGGGAGCAGCTGTTGGACAAATTGTACCGTACCGCTCGTGGCATTCTCTTCCACTCTAATCTATCCCCTTGGGCGATCTCCATGTTTAAAAAAAAGTATTTCAGCTCTTGCAAAGACATGTATGATCAGAGCGAAGATCTGTGCTGTTCACACTCGCTCAGCTTTGGGATTTTTCTTCAAAAACAATTTCATCTCCCAGTAACACTTTCTGTTTTGGCAAAAGATAAAGTGAGAGCATACTGCATAATGAAGTTTCCCTTTTATGATCTAAAATCTTACTTCCCTAACATGTCTCTGTTGTGGAGAACAGCGCTGGAAATACCCTCTGCTCTATATGGTGCTGAGGAAATGGGTAATTTTGATTTCTGCATCTATGGCCAAACTACTGTCAGAGTGAATCTTTGTTTTGAATTACATTTTCTGGCTTAGTATTATTCTTCATAACTTCTCGTAAAACTTTAAGGTTTGGTTTGTTTGGTGTTTTTTTTTATTTTCCCACCCCAAAGGATGCCTCCCAGATAAGGCAGTGACAAGGATTGGTGTCTGTTCCAGTCCCTACAGGAGACGCTGGTGGGGAAGTGTGCACCTGGGGTTTGGGGGGGGTCTGCATGATGCCCCGGCCCAGTCTTCAGTCAGAAAGGCTGAAGGAAACCTTTGGGTCTGCCTCTGCGCCGTCACCCCGACCCGTGCTCGGTACTTGTGGGCGGGCGGTGGCCAGCCTGGCGTCTGCTGGCCCTGTCCTTCTGGCCTTGGGTAGCGGCACAAAAGTCGGCAAAATCTTAGTACCGAAGTTGACAATTGTTCTTACTTGGCGAGCTCTTTGAGATCCTTATTTAATATCGCTCACATTTTAATCTTTAATTTATTGCAGTTTGTAAATATTCTTGTGCTTACGGTTAGTGTTCTGAACTTTAATTTATTGAATTAGTCTGTTGGTACGTGTGTAGATACGTAAACATGCATACCTAGTAAATCACAGTCACGAGAAAAATATTTAAGAAATTGTAGCATTATGAAGAGAAGTGCTCAGATTATATACAGATTAAGAGAAGCATAAGATTTATGGCTTCGTTTTCTTTTTTCCTTCCCTTAAAACAACCTCTGTGTTGAACCTGAACACCATTTATTAAAACAGAGATGGAGGCTGGTGCAACTTGAGCAGAGTGAAAATGTTTTGATGGTGTTTGTTTGCCTTTGGAATGCTTTTTGTTCTCCGAGTGCAGCCAAGAAGCTGACTGATTGCTTTGTTGTGCTGGTGACATTGGAGGCGATGGTCTGGAAGATGCGGTGAGGTGACCAGAGGTTTCGAGGTTAATTTGCAGCGGGTGGTAATTGCTTTTGCCTTTGAATGTGTGACCAAGAAAGTTGAAGGGACGGCCAGATGCTGACCAAAACATGACAGTACGCAGTTCTGAGTAACTGTCTATGTCCGTTCCTTTGTGCGCTTCAGGTAGACAGTAGTTACGTATGAATGTGCAAGAACTTGCATTTAGTCTTTTTGAAGTACAGTAAAGCCACTTTTTTATTAAATACAACTTTTTCACTATGTAGCTATTCATTAGTATTGAAATTCAACTCTTGGCCCAAGGAAGTGAAGTACTTAAGGCAAAATTGCTTTGTTTCAGTGTCTGACATTCCTCAAAAAGGCTAGAAGTGTCAAATATTAAAGTACTTGAACCTTTAGTACTGAGTCTTTCCTTAAGATTTATTAGTTATGAAGCCTGCTGCTTTTATCCTTTAAAAAACTTGCACAGCTGAAGCAGACGTAGCTGGGTTGCTGATTATATTGAACATTCACGCTGCAAAAGATGATGCTTTTTTTGAGCAGCACCCCTTGAATGTTGTTTTAGTGTTGCGTTCCTAACGAGCGCATGGGATGAAATCTGGGCCGGGGCAGTGGCTGCCATGTCAGTTGGCAGGTTGATTTAGAAAAGGGAAAAAAGTGCTACAAAGTTTTAATTGATGGAGAGCATTGCATTTATTTTAACAGCGTGGTACAATTTTTTATCACCGAGTTCTGTTTGCTGTGAATTTGTTTAAATGTCGTTGTCTCCGAAATGTCTGTCTGTGTGGGTGTGAAGCCACATGCCAGACTCAGGCAGATTTTTTCCCCTTAAAGACTAATATGAGGGAAAAACAATTCCTTATTCTTACAGAGGGCGTCAGCAAGAATAATTGTTTCAGAAGATTGTGTTCTTATAAAAGAGAGATGAGAAAATTACTAGAAGCATAATGACACTGAATAAATGTGTAATGTAGGACTAATAGAGGGGTGAAGAACTGTTCTTCTCCACCTTAACCTAAAGCTGCTGTTGTGTTAGGGTGTAACCAGAGTTTTTCACCTTAAAGCAGTTAATTTATTCCACATGTTAACTTGCCACATGTACTGTGGCGCAGCAGTTTTCCCAGGAAGATGGGATATTTTGTTGTGCAACACTCGGCCTTAAAAAGGGACATTTGCTGTGGGAAAGAGCGTTGAAGGTGCACAAGCGTAGGGGTTTGTACCTCTTCTGAGCTCTCTTGGTCACTCGCAGTGCCAGCAGGTGGGTGCAGGCTTCCAGTGTCTGTAGGGTCGCCCATGTACTTAATAAAGCACGTTATGTAGCACGTTTGTACTCTTAATGCACGGCCCCGGTGTTATTGTATGTCCAGTGCTTGGCTCTCCCAGCTGGGGGTGTCTGCCTGTTCCAGGGGCATTGCCTACTATGGGCACTTCCCCAGCTCATCCATCCCTGAGTCAGTCTTAGCTTGAGTTAGTTGTTTAAAGGTTGTGCAAGCAATATAAAACAAAACAAAAACCCCCACCCTGAAACCTGGGCTTATGGTATCTTTTAACAATGGATTGCACTTAGTGAATGTGAAAAATTGTTGCTTTTAACTAATGTGTGCTTTTTTTTTTTTTAATTTAGCACAGATGCACTGAAAGCTTCAAGTGAATGCCTTGCTATAGTGTGTGTATATCTATTCTACATGTAAAATTTGTTGGTGATACTCCACCTTTTGAGTAGACGTTGCTTTAACTCAACAGCCCGATTTTAAAGGACAGTTGTTGGTTTTGAGCTAAATTAATTGCCATAACATGACGATTACATAATACCTAAAATACCAAATAGCTTTTCCAAAAGCAGAGTCTCACATTGTTGTCTGACTACATGTAGCTGGATTGACCATTAAACAGACTGGATTATAGTGAATTTAAATAACTATGCAATCTTGCCACTACTAGCTGAACACACTTTCAAGAACTTGTCACGGTGCATCCCTTCCCGATACCCAGAGCACGTACTACCCCAGTCAGCAACCATTCTACTACAGCCCTCCACTTAAATTGCACAGAGTATAGATCCATTTCTGAGAAGAATTTTCATGTGTATTGTGTTTGTCTTTCAGTTTTCAGTTTTTCCTTTTCTGAGGAAACTAAATACTATGTTGCATTTAAAAGCTTTAAATAAAGATTTGTTTATATACTCCTTGGTGCTCAATGACTTGATTGTCAGAAGTTCTGCTACTTTGTTTTCTGCAGGGGTAGTTGAGCTGTCACTGAAGCTGGCCTCTGTACCAGGATCGGGTCTGTGCCTCGCTGCGGCTTCCAGCACGCGTGCTAGATGCGGTCCAAACTGTCTAGGAGCAGGGCTGCATAACATACTTGCACATGCTAAAGTCACTGCTAAAACTATTCAGTTTAAAAAAAATCTGAATTGGATGCAGTTCTGTTCTGTACCAAATTCAGTAAAAAATGGACAATGGCAACGGTCTAAAGCTATCGATGACTTGTTTTCAGCAGCTCTGTCTTAGGGGACCACCGTTTTCAGAGACCCAACTCATTCTCTTTGTGCTATCAGTCAGATAATCATCAAGCTTCCAGCCACGTGGCCCTTCAGCCCATGCTTACACGTCTTTTCCATCTTCCTGCCTCTCAACGTGTCTGCGTTACTGGTCTTTACCTTATTTAAGCCCTAAGGAGTCTCGTCTGTCTGGGTAAGAAAGAGCATACATAAAAACGTCATTCCTCATTTATAGCAGTGGCTTTATTATGAGAAGTTGGGACTGAGCTAATTGCTTACAGTTGTGTGGCACATGAGCTGGTGGCTCAATGAGGAACCTGAGCTTGCATGAAAAACTGGCAATTCAATCGTGGACTTTTTAACTCAGGTGAATTCTTCAGAATGTATTTGTACCTTCTGCATCAAAATTCTATAGTTCTCTCCCTTGGCTATACAGAATTTCTTTAGAGTAAAATACTTAATGTAAAAAAATACAGTAGTATTATTAAAACATTTGATTGTTGGGCCAGTATTTTACAAAATACGATAAAGATGATTGTAAATCTGAGAATTTGGTTTATAAAAACATACATTCTTTTTGCTTATAAAATTCCTTGCCCGAAAAGCCACATTTGTGCAGGAAGGTTTTGCCCTGCCATGTCACATTAGTCCTTACTTTATTTGAAGATCACAAGCATAACAGTCATTAAAGCCAAGATATGTAGAGTTGGTTTTACTGCAGCTGATGGCCGTTCGAGCTCTTGGTAGAGGGGAATTTTGGGGCATGAAGGCGCTTCTGGTTTGATAGAGACTTCTGGGAAAGAGAAGTCCTGTTTCAAAGCACTGAAGTTACCAGTATTGTCAGGAATTTCCACTGTCTTCAGTATTGATTTGAATCCTGGTACAGTAGCCTAGGAGCAAACGTGAAACCTTTTCTTACTTGGTTTGAAACATTGTTGAGTTCAGCTGTGAAACAATCATTGTCTAGTGTGCTTATTTACACTTTCACCGTAAGGAAAAAGTGTTCTAAACGTAAGTTTGAGAACATGGACTGAGAAAAGAGTAAAGTTTTCACATCATATCAGTAAGACTAACCCCACCCAAAAACCTGAGAATATTTACTTCTAATAGGGGGGCACAGCATGCTGTACAAGAGAGGGAATCCTGCAGTTAAGCTTCAGTGTAAGCCCTTGGCTGGCAGCAGGCGGAGCCGTTCTCCCGGACCAGCTACTGCCACCCGCCCTCCGCAGAGAAGCCATGTCTGCCAGGGAAGTAACTGTCTCCGCTGGCGTCAGCCCCTCGCTGCCTGGGCTTTGGGGACCCCAGCCTCCCCCCGCCTCCCCCTTCAAGAGCTCTGTGGTTTGTCTCAAACACCTCAAGCTCCCGTCATCATGGTCCAGACACTCATCCCAGCTGGCTCCACCATCCACGTCAGATGAGTGCTTATCTCCAGCCAGTCTGGGGACTCAAGACCCTACTGCATCAAACAAATTTCCTTTCTGCTGACTCACATTCTAAGATACTATCTTCTTTTAAATCTGCTAAAGAGCCTTTACAGCTCCTGTATATGACTTGAGCAAGTTCAGCTCGTTGGTCTGTAAGGATTCAGTATCACTGTGCTCAGGAACTCGATGCAATTAGAAACAATTGAGTAAGGCGGCACACTTACATTGATGACATACGTCCCAGGCAGGAGGAGAAGAAAGTATTCCCCTTGTTGATTTGTTCTGTAGGGGCAGACATGAGCCCTTCCTTTGGCCTCCACGATGGCATTAGGAATAGGAGTCCCATTCTTACCAGTAACTTGACCCTTGACACCTATGGAAAAGGGAGAGGAGAGAAAGGTCACAACATCTATCTGTGGTGAGCCACCTCCTCTGAGAAAGTTGGGCTGTTTTGTTCCTGGATGCACTCAAAGGCTATTTCATGCACTTCTAATAATATCACTAGTCCCTTCTATCTTAAGGGAATTAAAATAGAAAATCCTTTGTTGTTGTTAACATGAGGGTAAACCATTAAGTTAGAAAGCAGCACTGTAATCTCTGTTTCTAAGTCTCATTTGCTGAAAGCACCATACATACTTACTGCATGTGTCTTTTACTGAAGGGCTTCAATCTTCAGTACTGGTTTGGGGAAGGGGGGGTTGTCCCCCCCCTTTTTTTTTAAATTTAAAATAAGTCAGCCTCTTATCCAGTACTTCCCAAGGGCAGAATACCAACACTGTCTGCTTATGAAATAGTTTCCCTAAATTCTCACACACCACCTTCAAGGCAGCACTCGCGTTAAGCAAAGATAAAACAGCAGTCAGACTTTCTGGGCAACAAAACGCAAGACAAGCAACAGATTTGTGCAAACTCGACTCATTGTAAAGTACCACTGCTTCACTAACCCGCAGCTCTCTTCCAACTGTGAAGTTAAAGAGCACACCTAGAAAAGCCTTACAAAAATACAAAATGCAAGCAGCAAACACCCACGAAACATTGTCTACACACACACACACATACCTGTACAGACCTCTGAAATAAATGACTGCCCCAAGGCTGCTCAGCAAAGCGGGCTGCCTGAGGGGGGTCTCTGCTAAGACGACCCCTGGGGCCCATCCCTTGCTCCTGCCCCAGCGCATTTTAAGCCCCTTGCATCACTGCAGTAGCGCCCATCGCCCCACGCCTGACACACGTGTAAGTTCTCCTCCCTTACCCATCCCTGGCCTTGTAGCACTTGCTATTCCAAAGTGATAGCTCCCAGGTTCAGGCCAGAGCTCCTCACCTGTGAGCTCTGACACTGACCTGGGCTGCTGAAGAGCTCCCACTTTGCCCACCAGCCTGGCCTCAGCTTTGGCTCCCTTCCCCATTCGCATACCCACCTAGATGTACTTGTTTTATATATTCGATCAGAGCAGCTTTGTTGTCTCTCCAAAACTTTTCCAGCTGGTTTGCTGGAGGATATTTACAGCATGACAGCTCCAATGTAATTTCAAAACATTGTCCCCAGATGTAGTTGTAATCTTGCATTCCACCTTAAAAGTGACATAAAAGAAAGAGCGTTCAGCTGCAAAGAAGCACCAAGTTCAAGCTCAAAGAAAAATAGGAGAGTTACAGGTGTGATGCAAGTACCAACATTTTAAGAAAAGTAAATCAGATAAATGATTCCTCAGTGCCACATTTGTATTTACTGCCTCCTCTGGAAAACCAACTTAATTACTCTAGTTACATGTAGAGTGTTGTTTTCTAAAGCACAATGGCGTTTCAGGAATGACGACTATTATGGCTGAGGAAGGGTGGGTCTTTGACTTAAACTCATTCAAGCGCTCCCAAGCAAATAGGGGCAGGTAGATTCACAGGCTGGCATAGAGTTTGCCACTGCCAAAGCCATCCTGAGAGCCTGTTAAGGCTTTGAATTTAGACTGTGAAAGCAACACGCAGTGCCATAGTACGCAGGACCCGTGTTCTATTTGGCTACACATAAACAGTAATGAAAACATTTATTTCAGTGATCAAACATTAAAAAAAAGGATGATGTATGAACAGAAGATTGGTCTTCTTTCTGAAAGGACAAGACCTTGGTGCCACACCAGTGTGTGCGCATGTATGTTATCTATACAGCCACCCAGGCCTTAAGAAAGGGCACAGAAGCAGCCAGACAGCAGAGACTGCCTCATTCACTTCTATAACTGCTGACTGGGAGGGTCTGCAAACACCCAGGTCCTGCTCAGAGAATCCGCGTGAACACGTTGGCTTACTCCCCTCATCAACCCTCTACTCTGGGCAAAATCACAGCTCTTTTACCATCAAAGATGGCAGGCGAAAGTGAGAACATCATATCTGAAGCAGCTGAAAAAAATATATTGCTGACATTCTTACCTTCCAGCTGGTACCAAGAATACCCATTGGTAATGCCTTCCGGAAAGGTTTGTCTGTTGTCACACCCAGTCCCTTTGTACATGCTGGCATGGTTGAAAGAGTAAGTTTTTGCCAGATGAATAAAGACATCATCATCTAGAGACCTGCTATAGCCTTTCAAAGAGCCGGTAACTGCAGAATGAAGATAGCCATCATGTAACTCTCATTATTGGTAAAACATACAGTGCTGGCTTACATACAGGATAAATATTTCCCAAATAGCCGTATCAGGCAGTGAATTTTGATGGGGTTTTGATGGGCTGCCCATCCCAGCTCAAAAGCTGGAAAAACGTTGCAGAAATCCTTATAAATTTTGCTTTGGTACAGCTAACATTCCTAAACCATATCAGCTGTGGAGAAGAGAGTTTGTTACTGGCTTACCTGAGTTACCATTATCAAAGGTGTAACTGGCAACCAGGGCACCCCCGTGCAAGTTTGCCGAAAGAACAAACGTCTCATTTTTTATCCAGTCCATTACTGCTTGAGTCTCTGGCTGAATGCTAGCATTGTTATTTTCAAAGGCATCAGGGAAATTTCTGTTCAGATCTTCTCCGTTCTTATTGTACCTTAGAAAGAGAGAAGACATTCCCATTACTGCTTGGCCTATGGACACTTCCACATCGCCAGCCTCCCAGTACTTAAAATCTGTTGCATGCTAGTGTCTTTGGAAACAGGCAAGGTGACCATTGCAAATCTTCTCAAGCATTAAGAAGATGGACTTTAGTTTGCTTTCTGGCAGCACTGGAATTTTCACAGGACACAATAAAACAATTCTATGGTATTTGAGGTGGAAACAGTGAATAATATTTAACATGCATATAGCATGCACACACCTACACATACATGAATTAGAAGAAGCTAAAGCCAGATAAGGAGGAGGATGTACTTCTGTATGGTTTTTCCCACTTGTATAGAAGACCAAGGTAACTACTGGATGGCAGGGTCCTTTGTCCTGCTGTCACTCTGGACATAGAGCAAAACATTTGACTCAAACACAGGATGTATTCTCTTCTCCCTGTACCTGAATGTCCAGCCTGTGCATATGCTTTCTTTTTCACTCAGACAGGTCAGTACAAGAGTAGAGAAGGTATTTAGCATCAGCTGTATTAATTTTTAAACTCTGTAGCTAGTTAAACTCTGTCTATTTGACAGTGAGGGGATAAAAAATACCACCCTCCATAAAATTCCTATCTATTTGCTGAGGAATAAATTTCTTTCCTAATAAAAAGGACAGCCTACACTGATCATCTAGAGAACTAAACTACCTTGTCACTTGCTTCCGACATTGCCATGGCCAGTGATCCAAGAGAACTTCTGGCTCATGAGTTTGATTTTTGTGCATATTCCAACTCTGTTCCTTTGGCATTTCTTCCCATTCTCTCACTCTCTCCTCTTCTTCCCTTTTCTAGCCTGTTAAACCTTTCCTCCCTTTTTTGGTCTCTGCAATAGTTACATTAAAGAATGCAAAAGTAGCACAGGATGCAACACTAGGTTACTTTTTCTTCTGTGTAAGTTTTCTTCCTAGCTCTGCTATTAGCACAGCACTTACTACAGCTAGCTCTGCTTGTGTAACTCCTCCGTCTTAGTAGATCTGTGTTCAACATGATCTTCAAACACATTTCTAGAAGTCCATTCAGCCAGCTTAGACACACCTTATTCTCATTAGGAAGGGTTACAGGGTTCTGCAATTGAACTAGATCCCTATGGGTGGAGTTTTCCTTCTTTTTCTGTAGCACCCTAAAGGTCTAAATAGATAATTGAGCTTCTATTCGCAGTCTGGGTCTCCTGCCTAAAAGGTTAGGTCATTACACCATTCTGACCAATTTTCTCTAGCCGCACCACATATAAACACCAGTCTGACTCAGTCTTCCAAAAACTCTATGCCGTAACAGTGTGTCTTCAGATCAGCACAGGCCAAAATTAGCCCTCACGCATCCTCTAGGCTGTCCTCGCCACCAAGTATGACTCAGTCTCTTGGCTATCTCCGATTATTACTCCCCACCCATTTCTTCTACCTACTCCCACCCTCCTAAGCCGCCCTTACCTTCCTGGCGTGTAGTAACAATCAGGCACTTTTGTAGCTTCAAATCCATCAGGATTCATTGTTGGCATGATGTGAATCCGGGTATTATTGAGTAACCGGGTAATAACTGGGTCATGTCTATAGCTGGTCACCAGGAAGTCTATCAAATGGAGCAGCATTTCTCTCCCAACAGTCTGTATAAAGAAACACAGATTTTAAGTCTGCTATGGAAGAAGAAGAGAAAAAAAGACCCACCACCTTACAGGTTTTTTCTTACTGGATTATACAGACATACAAGAGCATCCTGGTCAACACTGTTTTGTCTTATGCTCTCCCCTAAATATATCTGAAGTAATTTAATACACGAAAGGAGTCACTGGAGGGTTTTCACAAGGGTTTTAAACCCATATCAACCAGAGCTTTTTCTGTAATGGGAAACTGACTGTGTCAGCTACACTGTTTAAATCCTGCACGGATAAGGCGTAGCCTTATCAAAAACTAAAACTGCATAGACTGCCTGTTAAAGAGCATGTGGGCTTGGAAACGCACCACTGCACTATCTCAGCTGCACTGCAGAGTCAGCTCTGTGCTGATGCCCAGGGGACCCCAGGCCCTGCACATAAGCGTCAGTGCTGTGCATCACCACTTGGCAGTGAAGTTCAGAAGAAAGGAAGGCAACACCTTCCATGTTTTCCAGGTGCTACAGAGCAGGATTTTTTCTTGTTGATCACCTTCTATGGGAAGTCAACTTTAATACAGGATCAAGAGAGGCCCCATAGGCACTTCTGTTATATTCTCTGTTACATTGCTTTATTTTAATGCCATGAACACAGGCATTAGGGAAACCAAACAGGCATATATAAATCCTTAGCAGAAGAGATGGAAGGATATTTGGATGCAGACTTTGGATCAAGGAAAGGCAGTAGCAGAGAAAAAGCTAAATACATATTTTTGTTCATGTAAGTTTGTATAGGTCGTGAAGGCTGGCAGGACATCTCCCTTTAGTCTGCTCTATCAGATTTCAGGCAAAACAATGGCAAGATTCAGCTCCAGTGAGTTAAGAACAATCCTATTCTACCCCAGAAACCACTAGTACAGCATTCACTGAACCATACTTTCCAGGAGCATTTCCTATAGCACTGTGACCCATGCCTCAAGGGCACTGTAGGGTTCCTAAGCCCTGGCTGGGATGGGAACAAATCAAGACTTGCAACTAGATGTGCTCCAGAGACAATTTATCTCTAAGAACAAAGCCTGGTAAATCACTGCAGGCTCTAATTCAGAGCTACAGCATCTCAGTATCTTTTTGAACGAGTCTTGCACCACTGAAGTGGAAATCTTTCAAAGAATTTTTTTTTTTTCTAAAGCGAGGAACATGGAGCAGCATTACTAGAAGAACCTGGTGATGCAGATAAACATGTCCTTGCTTTCAGACTGGTACAGGCTAAGGTAAAAGCTAGGTGAAGTCAGGTAGGGGAAAAGGACTATTTCTCCACAGCTATTTGCTGCACTAATATCTTGTCGAATTTTCACATTAGTACATTTTAAGTGATAAGTCCTGCTCTAGGTGTTAAGGTAAACAGGAACACAGACACTGTCCAGCAGGAGCTCTGCCTGCAGGAGCCGCGTTGGTACATGATGGGGCAAGGAGGTCTGGGTGTAACTGCTCTTCAGGTTGGGAGCAAACCATGTCTTGCCAGTTAGCTGGCAATTGCTGTTTATTGCAGGGGAAACAAACAAACAATGTAGTGCCAAAAATGATCACACCATTTTAAGTGTCAAAATTGAAGGCAGCCATGCAGTTTGTACAGGGAAAAAGAAGGATCTTTTCCCACCCTGCCCTCCAGGAGATTTGTTCCTAAGTTTTCTAACCCTTGCCTGTCAGCTCCTGCTGATCTCCTGCAAGCCACCATCCAGTAATTTGTTAGGGGAAGCTATGTTACACAAATGCATATACTGTGTCAATAACTAAGTTGTTCTTTTTCTAGACAATGCAGCAAATGGGCTTGGACAAGGGGTAAAAGGTACCCAATTTCCTCCATTGCCAGTAGCTTTCAAAACAGCACCTGAGCACATGAAAGCAGACTGCTCTGCAGGTTTGATAAATTTACTCTGTGAAATTTAAGAAGGGATGCAACAGAACCTGTCTTGTACAGGCAGCTCAGTTCCAGCTCTGGGTGATAGACATCTTGGGAAGCACACAGAGCAGGGGGGAAAGAAAGGAGGGGAGGGAAGTCAGCCAAGACATGGCCCTGGGCATGAGAGATAAAGCTAGCAGACTCAGAAGCAGCAAGAACAGCCCTACCACAGAGGCAGCTAAACTACAGACAAGACTGGACTGCTCTCTGGAGAAACTGGGAAAGTGCCTCCAATCCTACTGTACTTCTCTGCAGTACCTGACAAAAAGATATCCAGGAAAGAAAGGGTAGAGAAGCAGAACAGGAAGGGGAAAAAAAGATAAAGAAAAGCAACAAGAGAAGGTGGTGGAAAAGGGCAACATTTATAAAGAACGGAAGATGACCAGTTTTTCATGGATGACATTCTTTGCACTTAGAAGTTAAACCCAGACTTACTTACATATACAGTATTTTAAAAACTAACCCTATTTTATAGGATTCCTTGTATAGCTATTGTTGTACCTGAGTATGTAGTAGATTAAACAATTCAGCTAATTTCTATCACAGAGAGTTGGCACTTTGATCATTCCCTTGTGGGAGAAGAGTGTATTTATTACAATGCTGTTTCAGTGGGGCAACTGAGGGGTGGTTTTGTTTTGGTCCAGAGTACCCTGAATTTCTTGAGAAAGCACATCTGGAGATGTTTGAGGGGAGGGAAAGTTTTCATTTCTGGGAAAGTATAGCTCAAGTTTTGATCAAGCCCTTGGAAGGCATCTGCCACCTAGCCAGGTAGAGCCATTAGAAGCTTCAAAAAAAGGGTCTAGACACAGTGGAGGTAGGTTGCTGACAGTAAAGTCGAGGACAGACACCTTAACCTGCCTCTAGTCTAATATGAAGATGTAGAGAGCAGGGGACAGCGTATATGTACTCTGGGACTTTGAGGAGACATGATGAATACTTGGTTTTAATTGCAGTATCCCAAGGGCAATGCCCAGGTGCATTGTTTTGCTGTAGCTCAGATGAGGAGTGACACAAAAGCAAAGGAAAACCCTTTCTCCCACCTCCAGGGATACAGTTAGACATTCAGTTTCTCTGTGCACTTTCAGCTGTCTGTTTCCTTGTGTGCCCCAAAGGGAGAGAGTCAGCGTGAAAGGCTTTCGGGGATCCTCAGGGGAAGTCCTGAATGAAGCAGCATGCGTCAGGGCATGGATTGACACTGTAGAAAAGGGTGTTACTGCTGTTTCTGTACACATACCCCTTAAACTTGCTGACTATTGCTTCTGGCATGGCTGGGTCAGCACCCTGCTCAGCTACTGAAGGGCTTACTCAGGAAGCCCTAGCAGCAGCCAGTTAAAAGATTAAGGTTATCTCCAATTGCACCTGCGCTGTAACACTTCACTGCAGCACCCCTGTTTTTAAAACATTTTTGTTACCACATGAGAGACCTAATACCAGGGGACTATGGGTGGATAGACTCTGCCCATTTTTACGATTAAAATTCTTTCCTTAAATGTGGCCTGGTTTTTAAGTTGAACTATGTTGAAAGAAAGATCCAAACCATCAGGTAGGACCTGTTTCAGAGCAACATGGTCTTGCCCATGTCCTTGCTCCAACCCTGACTGCTCTACAGACCTAGCACTAGCACAACCCCGCCTAAGGAAGTGGAGTTACAGCACAGAAACCAATAGTCCATCCTGGTTTACCACTTAAATGCCACACTTACAAGATGTTCTTTTTTAACACTTGTACAGCACTAATTATTATGCACAGCTGCAACACACCCCACTATTTGTCCTTCTTTACTAAAGTGTTAAAGCGACTGTTTGTGCAAATAGAGTTTGGCACATACCCATTTATTTCTATAGCAGCAATTGCTATGGAAATAAAAGAACTTCCCTGTCATACATGTGGTATTGCAGTTCCTTGGATTATCACTTAAGGAAATGGCAACACAAAGCCTGCTTTTGAACTAGTAACTGGCATAAGATGGTACCACCTGGACAAATTCCATAGCCTTCAGGCTTCTCCGCACAGGCTTCACCTGGCTGAGAAATGGATCACTTTTTTATTTTCCCACTCAGAAGAGTGGGAGTAAAGATAAGGAAAAAGGTAACTGGGGCAAGGCAGCAGCCCTACCTGTGTTGAAAGATCTCTCAGCAGCATCCAGCTTTTTTTAAATTGTTGTTAGCAAATAGATTTGGTTGCTTTGAATTTTGAAATCTCTGGTGCTTCTGACCTTCTTTATACCACATCAGCTGATACTGAAGCCAGGTGGAAAATAGTTCACTACACAAGAAATATTTCTTTTTTTTTTACTCTCTTTTCTAGAGCATGTATTTGTTCCCCTGCCACACCACTTCCATACTATACTGCACAGCGCAAAGGACGTAAGATATGTGCTGAAAATTCCTTATAGCAGATTGTGTAGTATGTGGACACAACTCTTTTTGCCCAACCTGGTGGAAAAAAAAGCGCCTTTTTTGATATTGGCATTTTGATAGTGTAATTGCCACTGCCATTCATTTTTTGGAAATGAGAGTGAGAAATTCTACACAAGACTCATTAGTTCATTGTTTTTTGGTTGGGGTTTTTTTTTTGGTTGGTTGGTTTTTTTAAGCCCCAATTATGTTGATCACAAAACCTACCCCAGTCCTCAGTCACCCAAGCCCTAGTAAGTCACCATATCTCAGGAAACCATTCTGTGGATATGACTATGTGTACGATGACATGGAAAATAGTCTAGCTGCTTTAACTTAAACCACAAGGTAAGCAAGCAAGATCAACACATCTTTCATGTAGGCTAGCTCAGGTCTATCAGTACAGGCTTTGCTTCTCATAACGAAAAAGAGTTTATCTTGTGATGGCCCAGTTACACTATATCTGCAGAAAGTTAAGGAAGCCATATACTTAATATATTAAAGGGAACAAGCAGAAATGCACAAGTAGTTTACACTTTGTTCAGATATGCTTTTCCTTAAAGGGCTTCCCTTCTGTGATATACACAGTTTAGGAAAAGCCTTCTAATTAGATCCTGTGGTTCAGTTGTGTAGATTGGACTCAAGTCACTGGTACAGCTGGTCAAAAGGTGATAGTTCTGCTCCATTTATGACTTAGGAGTGTTTGGGGGTTTGATTGCAGTCAATGTTAAGTGAAATAAGTTCTTCCCCAGAGAGGAACGTGTGAGTGTACACACTGAAGAAGAGAGGATCTTTCAAGTAATAGTACAAGTCTGGGACAAGAGAGACTGCTGCTCAGTTCAGAATGAGAGCTGCCCGAGAACAACAGGCAACCTCTCCCTCATCTTCCTCAGTACAGACTTTATTAACATTGCACAGGCTTACGCATTTTGTGCAGTCTATTAGTGCCGTTTTGATTAAAGTCTCACATAGCTGCAAGTGACTGAACTACCTCTAATTATCATTTTTAATCTGGCTTAGGTTAAACAAAAAGTACTGCTAAAAATGGTGTCCAACTTCATACAGGCACACAAAGAATGGGAGAAGTGTTTTGTTGCACCTCTGGGGATCTGAGACAAAAGTTCACGCTATTTGGCGGTGGTGATCACAAAATAAAATCGTTTAAACCTTGGCTGGTCATGTCTTACAGTATTAAGAAAAATTACCCTACTTAAAAAAAATTAGTCTTTCCAGTTCTGAAAAAAATACTCTTCCTAGTATTGCGTACTCACGTTAGTTTATTAGAACTTCCCTGCTGGGCAGCTCTCCAAATAACCTAGGTTTTCTTCCAGCAGCATGTGCAAATAGCCTGCACACATGCAATTCAGGCTCCCCCCCAACTTCTAGGTTTCAGGAGCAGCCAGACAGCTGAGTCAAAAAAGAAAAATGTCATTTGTGTGATCATGACAGGTTAGAAGGGCAGCATCACCAAACACTTGAGAACAGAAGTTTTCTCACTCTGTACCATTTATGAAAAGCATCACTGAAGCACAAAAGACCCAACTAGATCAATGAAGCCATAATCCTGCAATTTTAAGTTATGACAGACTGTGGAACACAAGTTGAAGCTTGTCATACAGTCATTACAAAACTTATCTGCTTAATATATTATAGGGCTGGTTGAATCTTTCCCCAGTGACTAGTCCAGCAGAATCTTATATTATGGGAAAAAAATATTCAAGTTCTTCAATGCTTTTCTATACAAGGAATTCATTTCCTGCCATCTGAAATACATTTATGGTCAGATAGGAAAAACAAACACCAACTGTGTTACATCCATACACAAAAAAACATACAGCAAAGATCATCATGAGGGCCTAAAAAGGAGGAATCCTCTATTTCCAGAATCTTCCCTAGGTGCATGCTTGGTCTAGTGAACAAGTTAAAATGCAGCATGGCACTTAATACTATATGGTACCTAGGCAGCTCAAGGATCAACCCTGCTCAAACTCAAACACAGTGCCAGATCCCTTAAAAAAAAATTCTTGCCTCATTTCCTCACAAAGTCAACATAAGAATTTAGATCCTAGGCAGTGATCCAGGTTGCCTGATCTCCAGCAATTCCTGACCCTGTGGATATGCAAATGGTGCATGTCTCCACAGTCAAAGTTCCTTGTGCATATCCTGCTAAGCAGTGATAATGGCAGAAGTGCTTCATTGTGGAGGTTTCAATAGGAGAACTGGCCTTCTGCAGTCCAGCAATATCAGATTTGAGAGCCAGGCCATTCTGGATGAGATCATATCCTGCTCTCCATCTCTTTCCCAGCAAAGTGGGGTCATCTGTAGCCATAGGTTTCAATTCCCTTCAGCAGTCTGCAGGGACTGTCATATGGAACCTCAGTTCCTAGGCACCCTAGACTACCCTGCTGACACACACTAGGTTTTAGGAGTTGCAAACCCCATCTTGGGCATCCAGTAACACGCATACCCATTTGAAACCATGAATCAGCTTCCTCCCACAGAGTTAAATTCCAAAGCAGTCAGACTCCCAGCAGCACTTTGAGCACAGCTACTGTCAAACAAGGTGAAACTAGTCTAACTTGGGGAAAATTCTTGGCACATAATGTCACAAGTGTCTGTAGGCGTGCAAGTGCTCATGCATGGTATTAGTAATAGCAATAGCTTGTGACATGTTACACTTTACACAGGATACACTTCCTACTACATCTATTTTTCTTAGTTTGAGGAATTCAGTCTAGCAGATACAGATAGATATATAAAAAAGATTTTGCCATTTCTGTTGAATTATTTACCTTTCACATTAAAGGCTGCACGGAAATATATTGTGTAGTTTAAACTTATCCTGAACATGACTAATATAAGCAGGTAAAGCTAAAGAATAAGGGAACCAGAAAGCAAGAAAAGATTAGAGAAGAGCGAAGCTTTAAGTCTTTCTGTTCCAGATTCATGTACTACACCAGGAAGGCTCATAATCACCATTTTCTCCTTTATCATTACTAAGTGGGCATTCTTTCCAGAGCAAGTTAATCCTGTAATTGCTTTTTGTTTTGTACTCACTGTGTTATCTCAGGTAAATCTAGGTATTCCAAGCTTAAGGTTTCCAAGATAAACTTTCTTCCTAAAATAATTTGGTGCCGCACAGCAATTATTATTCAATCTTATGATGTATTTGAAGAGTTCTATCAGTCATACTTCATGCCTAGGCAATAATAATGTACAAGCAAACTATTGCATCTGACTCATTGCCAGGAAAGTTAAAGCCTCTGGGTTTATTCACATGGAGAAGACAAACCTCTCCACTTGAGAGGTCTTACGTGTAGGATTGTAGGATTCTTTACTGTGATGTAAGGTCTCCTAAAGCCCTTCCACCAGAACAAGGGAACTTTATTCTTGAAATTCCTCAAGAAATACACACATATTAGGTCTTCTTTGAGGTATGACATACCTCAATAGTAAGTAGCACACACCTAAGAAGTTCACTCTAAACCTCTGGTAAGTGTATTTGGTATAAATGACATTACAAAAGTTGAAACGTACCTCATCCCCATGCATATTCGCAACATACTTGAACTCTGGAATGCCAATCTTATGATGGGTTGGAAACCTTCCCAGAACAAGAACCCACAGGTCTCTACCTTTAAGAGGGGAAGGGGAAAAAACATTTCTTTAAACAACTATAATATCATACAAACCTTAGGAAAAAAAATTTTAAAAAGAGTTGGTCATTAAGACCACCATACAAATTCTCATATTTCATTGCTGCCCAGTCAGTCCTATATATAGCATATTAAGTAGGCTGTGAGTTTTTTACTCTATGAGTACTTGTTATATTAGTTACAGGAAAATAGTTTGGGTGGGTTTTTTGTAATAAACATTTTTCAAATCAAGTTTAGCAAGCAAGATCTTGTCAAGCAAAGTCACCAAGCAACTAAAGAGTATTTAAAATACAAGACATTCTTCCCCAAAATATTAAATCATAAGGGTTTTCTTAAGTACACACAGAAGTTTTCATTAACACAAAGAAAGAGCATCTTTTTTGTATTAAAGACAACACAGAAAAACTAAACACATTCATGAGTTACTGCTCAGAAAACAGGAGATACCAAGCAGAGCTGTATCAGAGACATATTAAATAATAAAAATTAGCATGGAAAGAATTAATAGATACAGAATGAGTATTAGTTAGGACCAGTAAAACTGCACAGGAAGCTGAACTTTAACAAAAAACAAACAAACATTTTGGAAGTCCTCACTGGGGGTAGGAGCATTTTTAATTATTATTTTTAGCGATATTGTGGCATTTCAGATCTCATCTTGAAAACTATGCTTCCCATTAGTCTGCTCAAGGAGGTGGAAAGCTCTAGTTTCAGCAGATGGCAGCAATGAAACTGGACCAGTTCCTTGATAATAGCGGTCACAGCCTATAGATTGCTAATGCCCAGACCTTGCATATATGCTACCTGTCCCCAGTTCACACAGGGCTTGCTGGGACCCATGAGCTGTCTCAGAGGAGTCCAGCTGTCATTGTTACTTACAGGAAAGAATGTAGGTGCTGCTATATGCAGTACCATAAAAAGTGTTATTTCCTAAATCTTTGTGGATCATCAAATCTGCAGTAAATAAACTCTGGAGCATAACAATTTCTCAGAGGTGTAAGCCATGACCCTCATGGTATAGCAGCCGTGAGCCAGTCACATAGCTAGAAAGGAAAACAAAAATGCTGTGGCAACTGCAGTACCTTCAGGAATGGGGAAAAAAACTGAAGAGGGCAGAAAGAACACGACAAGATGGACTGAAAACAACTGCAAGACAGGTAAAACTGAAGACAGTGGCTGCCAAACTAAATTCTCACTTAACAGGTTGAATCGGAGTCTCAGGCTTAGAATCAAGAAGCAACAAGACAGCACTGAGAGCAGACAGATTCAACAAGGAATAGTCTCAGGATCCCTTAGTTTTACACAGTCACTCTAGAAGACATTGGTGTTCAGCCCTTATATCCATATGCTATGCACAAAGCTGTGAGATGCTGCTACTGACACTTTCATTAAAGGACAATGTGAGCGAGCAATCCATACTTTTGAAAATAAGTTCACGGTAAGTGCTTTGGTGAGGAAGCTAGTTATTTGACTTCGTTGTATGCAGAGCAAATGTTTCATTAAAAAAAAAAAGAAAATAGTTTGACTTCTATAAACCTAGACAAGTTACAGAGCAGAGAAACCTGAGATGCTAGCTTTAAAGCACATCCTTCTTCAAAAAGGAATGAAGAACAACCATCAATCCTCACCACCCTAGCCCTTCTCCCCTCCAAAACCTCCAGAGGTCCCTTCCAACCTCAATCATCCTGCAATTCTGTGAAAATAGATGACAAGTCTTGCTGCAGAAGTATGCTTGGAACTGAAAAAAATCCTAGTCATGAAAAAAACATGCTACTTTTATTCAATGTCAATTTCTATCTCTGCAATGTGTCATCTTCTCCATGATTGCATCAAGAGGCAACCTGCCATGAAGTACCAAGGAAGTCCTTCCAGAGTGACTCCTGTAACTGTTTGTCCTTATGCCCTCTAAGCCATTATGCCCAGCTCTCCTTCCCTCTACTGGAAGGAAGTTTCAGACATCCCTCCTTGGTTCCCAACTTGTCAGCTGCCATATGGACTGCTGCACCAAGAGGAACACACCTGCTTACAATTGCGATTGCAGCCTTTCTGTCACAGCCCAAACTTAAGATGACTACTGGCAAACCTACAATGCACAGCTTCCCTAGCTAGGGATTCATCAGACGAAGCTATAGTGTCAAAGAGCGCATCCAACATCTAAGTGGTGAAATTATAAGATTAAGGTAGCAAAGGACCTATACTGGAGACCTGATGGTGCCCCAGCTCTCTCCTTGATGGATGTGGATACAGCTAAATTGTAAAACACGTGGTTTCCTACAGAGGAGTCATATGCCTTCTATAAGGTTATAAATTCATTCAGCCCTGGGACTGCTCATTATCAGCATGAGTACCAAGCACACAGACAGGGCTTCAAAATATCTCAGAGCCAATGGGTTCAGTGAGTTACATGTAAAAAGCCCTTTCACAGCAAGTGAAATAAGTGCCAATTAAAAGCATTAGCTTCCTCAAATCCTTGATGATTTCCTACACAAGCACAAAACAGTGACCTAGAAGGTGAGATGGTTTAATGTCCTGGTCTTGCACTAAGCTAACCAATATATTTACTACATTTATATTACCTTTCTGTACATAATTATTATCTATTATATAAAATAACCAACCAATCACAGCAGCCAAACAATACTGTAGTCCCTAGAACATGAAGCATCTTATCTCACCAATGACTAGACATTAAGATTAGACCCTGGTTTTCTTTGAAAGGAAGCAGGTCACAAGGACTATTTCAAAGCCAACTGCTAGCAATGACAACATCCACATCCATTGCATACAGACTTTTTGGAGCATCTCATGAGCCACTGTAGAACAGTGCTGCATTCTTTAGCCACTTCCCCGCAGCAGCACTAGCACTGATTCAGTACTATATATACACTAAAGCAACAAGAGTCCAAGTACAGCCAAAACGCTATAGTTATTTCTATCATTTAAGACTTTCTACAAATAATATTGTATTCTGATTTCAAATTAAAAAGAAATTTCCAGTGCCTTGCCATCAGCAGTGTTCATTCCTGCTGCTGTCACTGTGAAACTGCACTCATGGGAAACACAAGGAAGAGCTAAGTATAGACTAGCATTAAGTACTGATTTAAATTGGTCTTTCCAGCATTAGTGTTTAGACTGTTTATAGTTTATGTGAGGGCCATCTAAATGATAAACACTCCCATGAACTGAGACAGCAATTATTTCCTGGCATTTCCAGCTTGTGAGAAGTATTAAACCTACCATTAACAATTAAAATAAATTCCTGGGTCTGCTCAGCCTGCAGTACTGGATAGTGTACCTATGAGGGATGATGTAAGGTTCCTTTCCATACAGCAGTAATTTACTGCATATAAAAAGATTCAGCATATAGATAGTTTCCTTTAATCAGTAAAGCCTAGATAACTCTGGTTTTGTACCTGAAGTGAACAGCAAAGCTATCTCCCATGCTTTGAATCAACTGAATGTGTATCAGAAAGCCATTTCTCACTGCCAAACCAGAACTGACTTCAACTAATTAGTGAACTATATTTCAAGTAATCAGGACAAACGTGTGTTTCTAACTGTGTGTCTCGGGACACGTAACAAGGCTTGTATTGGAACAGAGCCAGACCACACAGCTTCTAGTAGAATGAGCAGTCTTTTTTAAAATTTTCTAGCACTGCCACAGTTCATGGCATCGTATCAGTATTCTAACTACATCTAGGAAAACTAGGAATTAAGATGGAGAATCGAATTTGATCTCCAGATCAAGTGGGGAAAAAACCAAATCACTTGTACATGCAGCCATCTGGATTGCCTCCCTGGTTTGTTCTGTTCTGAAATTTATTTCTACTTTTCTTCACTTTGTTCTTTACAGCTTCATCTATGAAAAAGAACTGTTGTCATTTCAAAGAAAGTTATGGCTAGGAAATTAAGTGAAATGACTGGGCAACGCACCAGACCCAGTGTCAGTACTGCTCAGGCTAGGCTACTGATTCAGGTTTGTATGGAGGTCCATTTTGACCCAGAAAAAGCAATAGGCTGACTACAGTCCTCCTGGCCTGGCCATGTGTTGCACACGGACTTCATGGGTAGGAACTGCAGTAATGCTGATCCATGTTGAAGCAGTCCCTACCTGGAAAGCATAGGACAGAAGAGAGGAAGAATGATTGACTCTCATTGGAATGCAAGGCCCAAGAACAATTTAATCCTAGAAACAATTACAGAACCATAGAACTTCCCAGGTTGGAAGGGACCTCAGAAGATCATCTGGTCCAAAGTTTCAGGAGAAAGCAAGCCTAAATGAGATTCTCAAGCACCCTGTCCAATTGCATCTTGAAAACCTCCAGTGATGGGGACTCTACCACATCCCTGGAGAAGTTGTTCCAGTGAATGAGTGTTCTCACTGTAAAAAGTTTCTTTCTTATATTGAGATGAAATCTCTCCTGGTGGAACTAGCCCATTGCCCCTTGTCTTTTTCCATGTGGCTCCTTGTGAACAGAGAGCCTCCATCTTCTTTGTAGCCACCCTTTTAAGTACTAGAATCCTGTGATGGGGTGCCCCCTCCAAGGATTCTCTTCTCCAGGGAGAAGAGCCTGAATTCCTTCAGTCTTTCATCACAGGGCAGGTTCTCCAGCCCTTTGATCATCTTTGTGGCCCCCCCCTCTTTTCACCCTCTCCAGTCTGTCCACTTCTTTCTTGAACTGTGGGTACCAGAACCAGACACAGTACTCCAGATACAGCCTGAGTGGCATGATCACACCTTTATCTCAGCTAGCAATGCCCCTGTGGATGCATCCCAGCATCCAATTTGCCTTCATTGCTGCAGCATCACGCTGCTGACTCACGTTCAGCTTTGTATTTCCACCAGGACTCCCAGGTCCCTTTCCGCAAGGCTGCTCCCCAGCCACACAGATCCTAGCCTATACTGGGCTCTTTGGTTATTCCATCCCAGGTGCAGGACTTTGGATTTGTCTCTGTTAAACTTCATACTGTTCTTGCTA